CCCCCCAATAGAAGGTAGAAAATAAAATGTTCACTTGCTGAAATGTTAATACATACATAGACGTGTGTATCACTAGAGTCCTACAGATAATCTTTAGAGTACAGTTATAGGTAAAATGTAGAAAAAATGTGTACCATATATGCCACAGAGTTAAATGTCAGATGTGCAAATTACTTTGAATCTTCCAAATTATTAATTGTTGTTGAAGACTCCCAACCTTCTACAAAATGAAGAACTGCTGTTCAGTTCCAAACAATGCTGAAGCATAACTAGAGGAACCAAAATAATCTGGAGCTCCAGAAAGGATCCAAACTTCTCTCTCTCTTCCTCCCCACACTCTGTAAGAAAAACAAATTTCAATACTGCCAGGTAACTACTGCGCATCAAGTCAGTTTGGAGTTGGATGGTCAGCGAGAACATCTTGTTTCAGCATTCCTGTTTCAATGTGTTCTTTGTCAAAGGTCATAATCTGTCTCTTCTTCCACCTTTTTCTATTCAAAAGCAATCCACGCAGTAGAGAAAGGAAGCGCAGAGTGACAGTGTTGGGATGCAATTATCAAAAACACCTTTCAGAGCCAAAATTGCATTTTCCATGATCTTATGTGGTGCACAGTTATGTCCCATTGGACTTGTGAAAGTTCCACTATGCACTGATTTGTGCTACATTGGGCTTCAGTGAACTACAGATTTGCAACTCAACTTTCTGTTGGCCTGGATTTTTGCAGACCAGTGAGGGGGTACTGCATTTTCTTTGAAGATAGTATAAGAATCATTTTGGATCACTCTACCCCACTTCATCCTAGCTCCTAATTTTAATATATCCAGTAGGCATTACCTGCAGTTTGACAGATTTATTCAAATAAGTTTACAAATGGATTCATCAGCTACAAGTTTTCAGTATTCTGGGATTATTTTTAATTAATTTTATTATTAATTGTCTATCAGAATTGTCTTCAGTAGAAAAATCAGTATAATCCTAACTGAGGCAAATTAATCTCCACTTGATCTTATTTTCTACTTCCTTTTTACTTATCTGGCTAAGAACCATTTGCTTTCTGTCTTTACTTCCTTAGTCTAACTCAGCTGGTCTTTCCGCAAGTCTTTCATCATCCCTGTAGACAGCACATACTATGGCAGGGCTCTTCACTTCTCATCTGTTATTTCTGCCCAATTATTTCTGAGTGATGTTTTTTCCAATTATATCTGGAGCAGTTTTAATCTGCCCTGCATAGGTTGGTGGACAGTGGAGTTAAAGAAATCCCCAGCCTGCTTCACAGGGGAGACACTGTGCTCTACGGTCTAGTTGACTTCTGTAACTGATTTCCATTTTATTTATTTTTTAAGCAGTGTCTCTAGATCATCTCCTGACCTGCTTATGTGCTTTGGGTTATTCTAATAGTTTGGACTACCTCAATCACTTCCTTAGGCAAAGCTATTTTCTCTAATTAGCTTTTTGTTTTCCCACTACTAACTAAAACCCAACCTTGATGTTTAAAAATGCAGTTATGACCTCCAGAAAATTGCAGTTCCTACCCTTACATGAAATCATTTATTCCTGATTGACCTGAGGATCAATGCTGTCTCATAGAATTGCATCTGTTCCAGAAGTATCTATGCCTCTGGCAGCATTTCCAAGACATCTTCTGTTTCAGAAACAGAACCTGTGGATCAAAGTGGACCTGTGGCACTACAGAAGTGAACCATGCTCAGAAATTCTTTACTGGAAATATTTTCTGACTTGATCAGTTCTGTATCACTGTTTCTTACCAGGGAAATCTTCCTCTTTGTGAGCAAAGAATGGGCGATCCAGCACTGACTTCAGTTGTTCCTGAGATTCTGTTCAATTCATGTGCTATAGTTACTTTAGTTATTTCACTGTATTTCTTACATCTGTGTTACATTTGAAAATTACTTCTAGCTGCAGGAGTTCCTTAAATTTATTACTGTTTTTTGGCTTCTCAGATATCTCTTTTTTGATATGCCCCAGATTAGAAACAGTCCTTTCACTGCCTGCCACCTGTCTATTTCTTCCTCTCATCAATATCTTTATTTATTTATCCTTGTTTGTCTGGAGTTTCTTTATCCATTGTGGCTATAATAGAAGATTATAGAAGTCTAAAACCCTTCAGGTGCAGATATGCTCTCACATCAGTAGCAATATTCCCCAGGCTGCTGTATGTGGCATTAACCCAGTGGAGCGAGAATCTGCAATTTATGCCAACACGAAGGAAAGTCAGAGAATTTTTTACTGTTTTCTGATAAGGTTTATCATCAGTCTTTGTTGCACATCTTATATGTTGTCTGCACCTAGCAGATATCTCTTTGGTTTTCTGGAACCATGCTACTAACAGGCCGGTCTGTTTACCTTTAATATATTTTATAAACTTTAAGAACTAAAAGACAAAATGCAACCAGATCTTGGCAATGGTGCTCTAGGTTTACCAATAAAAGGAAAATATGTTCCCTTTTTTAATTGCAGATCATTCAAAACATTCCTGAGCACAATGAAAAAATGAGAATTACACTGGGGATCTGGAAAAGTTAACCTATAATAGATCTAGTGTTTTTCTTATCTTTTCCATAGAACAGGCATCCTACTTTTCTGGCATTTGAAGAGAGAATACAATCCAGAGAACTGTAAATTGCATATTACTATAGCAGATTGCTAGGCCTAATGGTTTTTATATGAGATAAATAGTTCACATTTTCTCTTTTAATCTAAAAACAGAGTACTAGGATATTAGTATAAGAAAATGGTGTTAGTGTAACTTTATGCATTGAATCCAGATAAGTGGGAAATGCAATAAAAATATTATCTAATTTATATGCAAAACCATTTCATTTCACTCTAGTGTATTTGTTCCCTGTAAGGACCAAAAAAATAGTAATAAATAATAATGAATAATCACTTGTTGAATGCTAAAGTAGCTCATACAGTCCTTCAGGTTTATTGCAGGCTAAGATTTATGAGATTGAAGCCATATACTTTTTTAAAAATCTGTACATTTTGAAAACATATCCACCTGAAGATACATTTTTATGTCTGGCACTGAAATGAAAAAGTCATTCCATTTATTACAAATTATTTTGTGTAGCAGCTATGATAATATTTAATTAGTATTTTAACATTTACAAATCAGAAAAATATAATCTTTTGGTGCAGGCTTTAACTATTTCTAGAAGTCAGGAAAAATTTGCTCTCTGCATCATATTGAATTGCTGATGGAGCTTTAGATGTTGGCTGAAGACAGGTGAGAAGGGTATGTGAAGCTTTGTTTCATCTATTCCACTGATTGCTATGCTCTGAGCTGTGGTATTCTGCCTGTGGAGGTGACTGTGCACATGAGAATCTTTCCTTCCCACCTGTACTAACTTAGTATATTCCTTAATTCCCACTTCTTGCAAAGGAGCTTTTGAATGAGGAGCCATATTTAGAAACGCAGATTCTTCTTATGCAGCATATAATTTAATATCAGCTAGATAAAATTTTAATTGCATGTCTGCCATTTATTGCTATACAGTGACTCAGCCTGCTGTATGAGTAGATTGAACGTATATCTTCATTACAATTTCCCAGAGGCTTTTAAATTGGACTATGATCAGCATCTTCCTCAGCTCCTCTAAATCTGCTCGTGTACAGCTCATTTACACCAGCTCCACCACAGTGTGAGTGGGCTGGTATTCTGATATTGTTGCTGATAGCCAAAAACCAGTCAGACAAGGCATTTTTAATACCCCTTATCTCTGCCCAACAATTAGTCTAGCAGCTTGCTATTAAAAGTCGCTGTACCTCACTTCCAGTACTGCTCAAAATGTTATCAGTGCCAATTCTGCAGAAACAAGGCTTCATTTAACCCACTTTATTGCAAATATTTTTGGTCTCTGCAGTTAGACAACCTCATGTTTCATTTAAGTATTGCAGAGGAAACAGTTCTCTAAGCTGACATATGTGGGCACAGACATCAAAAAAACCTCCTCCTGCTCCCTGTCCACCAAGTCAGGCCCTTTTTGGAGTTGGCTGTGGAAGAGAGCTCTGGTTGCTGATGCTGTGTGGTGATTCACCAATGCTAGGGGACCATCAGCCTCTGCCACTGTTTAAGCTGCGAGGTGTGATGGGGACACCTTCTCATGCCTAGTGATCACAAGGATGAGGGTACCTGCCAGGGTGCCTTTCCATGTTTGAGAAATGGTGACTGGTATGCACGGTCTCTGTGCACCCAGAGAAGGGTACAGGACAAAGCCTGAAAGGTGGGAAGGTAAAGGTAAGGGAGGAGGCTTCTGAAAGAGGCAAAGAGAGCAGGGTTACGAGCATGCAGATGTCTTGTGCAAAGTGCAGACGTATGCAAAAATAGTATTAATGTGGCTGGAGTAGGTCTCGCTACCAGTCTGGCCACGGCACATAAGAGCGCAGCCTGTGCACATGGGTGGACTTTAAAGTCTGTTCTGTACCTTGATCCGTCAGAAGCATGCTCCCCTCAGCTCCACTAACTTAAAGCCAGCTTGGGTCTGCTGACCTGAGCAGCGCTTATGTATCCAAAATACAAGATAAACATACAATAAAAACAGCAGTAAGCAGGAAAGCAGGGAGTTCCTTGGGTCAGGCAGGGTTTGAAGGGTCGGAATAGGAAATGTTGAAATGTTGTTTCCCCTGGAAGCCCTGTACATGTTGACACAACTCTGTTGGGACAGTTCAGTGTGCCTAAAGCTGTGAAGCATAACTGCTTCTTTGCTTGACTTTGAGGCACTCTATTCTCTGACAGACTTTGGGGCCAGGAAGAGAGGAAAGTGCACAGTGCCGCTAAACCCACTCATATTTGTGATATTGATCAACTGCATATCATCTTGAATTTGGGATGCTCCCAGTGTGTGTAGTATGGATCCAATTATTCTTGTGTCTGTATGCTCACTTCGTTCTTAACAGGGAAACAGGTGCATACATACACAACATGTACTTGTTCCTCAGGAGATAATAAGTTACTGATAATGTTACCTGAAGAATCTGATTTGGATTTCTTTAGACCAGTTTTATAGTCACATAGACCTTATTATAGTTACAAATGTTAAGTTCATGTAGCAGTTCTACTTCACAGCTTTTGATGTTAAATGACTCAAAATACAACATCATACACTAGAAAAGTGAATGTAAATACAATTTTATTTAACAATGATGTATATGAATCTCAATATTTCAGATGAGAGCACATGTACCAGTTGAGTTAGGGATTATCCGGATCAATGAGTTACTATTATATGCTCCTTTCTAGCATGATGAAATAGAAAGTTGTGCAGCTTTTGGACTTTATAAGTGGTTTCATTTTTCCTCCTTTATGCTTAATGTCATTTACGTTAAGAACTATTACGGTATTACTTTTAATATGTATAACTTTTTTTTTTTTTTTTTTTTTTTTTGGTGCATTGCCAATTGTTTTTAATGATTTGTTTTTGCAGTTTCATTCCACTGATGATTGCCAAGCAAGCTTTCAGAATTAATTGTATCTCTGGCTGGAGTGTATGCTGTGGGCAAAACATACTGCTCTTCACATGTTAAAATAGTTATGAAGACTCAGGCTTCTTAGTTTTGAAGAGCTGGTAAAAGTTTCCTCTAAGCCTTGGTACTTTTCTTCCCAGGTGCTGAGATTTCCTACAGGTGCTGTTCTGGGCCCTGCGAGGGCTGGCGCTGGGGCGGAGGTGCCTGACTGATTGCCCCAGGCATGCTGTGCCAGGGCTGAAGGTTGAAGGCTGAAAGGAAGCTGTCCAAGATCCTCACCTCGCCAAGGACAGTGGCTTGCAGGGAGAATTCTGTCAGGGGAAGTGGACTCGCTGCAAAGAGATCATGGCCTCATCCCGACTAGTGGCAAGATCTAGAGATATTGCCAATGTCATGCAAAGGCTTCAAGGTAAGAGACTGTCTCGAGCTGACGCACTTTGACATCCACTCATAAATGGAGGTTCCTCTTCTTTACTATAGTATGCAGACAGGACAATATTTCTGAAGTTCAATAACTGTTCTAAACTTCTACCGGAAAATATTCATAGTGTGTCTGGGGCTCTGGTTATGAGCCCTTTGGTATAGCATTAATAGTGGTGTTTGAAAGCAGCTGATATGAAAGTGGATCCATGGGACAGGGCACTGAATTGAAGATTATGAGACTTTGGTTCTGTTTCTCCCATGTGACCTGATTGTGCATCAGTTTTCTTACAGAAAAGAGCATGCAAATTATATGTATCTTCTTCTCAGCTGTGAAGTCTACAGGTAGAACTGCACTACTAATAAACTAGTATTTATTAGTTTATCAATACTTGCTGTCTCCAGATAAGAACTGCACCTCATTATACTAAGCACTGAACAATTCCTAGTTCAGTGAGCTAGTTATTAGTGCTGAAGCTGGTGACCTTTTAGATAACATATCACAAGATGTCTTTGCAGTATTCACTGAGTATTCATTATGGCTCTGAGTTCTTATAATATAGAATTATTAAATAAAGTTATTGTCTTATTTTTTTAGATGTTATACACCTAAATGCTGCAGCTTAAAGGCTTGCATTCAGAATGTATGTTGTTGTTCAAATGATACTGCTAGAAACTGGCAGTGCTGTTGTAGGTTTCACTCCTGTTAACTTTTAAACTTGATCATAAATCCCTGACCTCTTCCTTTCTTCACACACCAGCAACTTCAACAAAGGCTTGCATGCACAGAACCCTTGCTAGCCCCTTCTGCATCTACTAAATCTGAAAGCTTTATCTTCCCATGGCTTTTACTTTCGTTTATTGCTTTTCAGTTCAGGCTATTTGAACTCAGCTTACCAGCCACCAGCTTCAACTAGTGCACATAATTACCATGTAGCCTCAGTAGGTAAATATAAGAATAAATAAAGATTCAGAGTCAATGTAATTTAGATCTCCTACAGCATTTCTCCAATTCCAAAATGCTTCTGCTTGATGTTACTCAGCCTTTTGTACAGTTACTATCTTTTTCCTTTCTATTTTTGTGTCTGCTAATTCTTAGGTCACGATCTTGGACGGTGGTTGTTCAAAGTGCCCGCAAACATAGGGCAAGGAAATATTCCCTGCCCAGAGAATTTGTGGTTTAAACATTAGGTTAAGACACTCCAGGTAGACTCAAACAAATGAGAGAATGCAAGGGTACAGTGAGGTAACCTTGATCACAGAACAAGGCGTTTTAGTACACTCTCTCTATATATATGCATATATATATATATATCTGTCTACTATATATTTTAAAGAAGTCATGTTCTTAATAAGGATTCCAGAGAAAAATAATGAGAGATTTGAAGCAAGAAATGAAATAATTATAAAACTGTGAGACCTTCTGAGGAATATGAAGAAATGCATGCAAGAAATGGCAGGGGTGCCTGGAGGTTATGGAGGCATATTGCAAAGGAAAGGATCAGGGAGCTGAGCTGTGTTCAGGGAAGATTATCCAGCCTGGTGCTCTGAAGCAATGAGTAAGGAAGATGCTACAGGAGGTATTTACAGAGCATGTGGACTATTAATTATCAGACTGCTATGTACTAGCTTTCTAAACATCTGTAAAGCTGTTGCTGACAAAATGGCTGTTCTGTTTATTTGCACTTTGGGTTTTTAACCTAATTGTTTTCTTATTTTTATGTATTTTGCTTTGAAGAAATCTGATACATAGTTCAGTCAGCTATATGTTTGTGGGTTGTTTCTTTTTTAAATTAAGCAAAAATAATTAAGTGACCTCTTAAAGATATTTTAGAAGAATACATATGAACTAAATGCAAATTTGGCATTATGTGTTAGTTTGAAGTGATACCTATAACTGGATTCTTTGCTTCTCAGATTAAATCAGTTCAACTTGGTATTGCTGGGATCTGAGTTTTTCTGCAGAAGCACTACTTCAATAAATCACCTGTGCCAAGACTGGAGTGCTTGAAGCCTGTCTTTTTTTAGACTGTAGTTCTGCATTATGGATGAGCAGGCAATCTGCACTGCGACTACCTTAGCCCTTACGAATTAAGGTTCCTTTACCTTTCAGAAATTATAGTCAGCTGAAATAGGAGCAGGTATGGACATAGGAACACAGAGATATTTCTTGGTATGCTTGCATGGCAGCCCAGAATTGGTGCAGTTGGAGCTGGGTGCGTAGCTCAAGGTGAGAGTGGAACTGACAGTATACACCGTGTAACAGGAACAGAGATGGTTTGGGGGATCCTAAGTCAGTGCTGAGCAGAAGTTGTGCTTTACAAGCCCTGCTTTTGTACCTGGCCGTAAACCGAGGCAGAAGAGTTCTTCTGTGACACTGTCAGAAAGCACTGCAAGATGTCAGTGCTGGGACCTCGCCAGCACTGAGGAAGAGAGTTAAAGCAAGCTGTGCCTCCCTCCTCCACATTGTTGTCTCGTATTCACCTCACCGGCTTCCAGTAAGTGTTTGTGATGGGTGTGTATAGGAAACACCAGAAAAATGCTACTCTTCACTGGGATTCTCAACACCAGTTTTGAAATCTCTGCTGTACATACTGTAAGTGAATGCAATTATATCAGCTCTCTTAAAAACTGTCAGCAACAAAGTTGGTTCTGGTGGTTTTTGGTTTTTTTTAAAGAAATAAAAAATTATTTCCAGCCACTTCCCTTTGGTGACTATGACACTTGCAGTACACTCTGTTAAATGTTACAGAGTTTTGGAATAAGACTGCATATCGCTGCCTCAGAAATCCACTTTGGACAAACAATCATAAGGATGTGCAGGGTACTTGGCTGGGGGTTTGTATGCAAGTGTGTATGCAACCTGTCCTATCCTGTGGTGCCCAGACAAAGTTATTTTTCAGTATTACTCTCTCTGCCCAGAACAATTGAGAATCTACTCCTTTAGTGCAGGCCAGGCAGGGCACTGGAGAGAGGTGGCACTGAGAGTAAGATTTACCATCTCTAACTTCATCATCCCGTATCCTAATAAAAATTGAGACGTAGGGCTATTCATTATATCTCAGTCTGCACTCAAGGGAGAGAGACAGACTCCTCCAGAAGGAATATGATCTGTCATCACTTGAATTTTAATTCATTACAGTATGTGTTTGAAGCAAAAATCCTTCCTATTATATTTCAATCCTGTGAATTTTATAACATGTGTAATAGGCAGGGGTTATGGAAAAGAGTGGCTTTGCCACACTTAAATGGAGAAGGGAGCAATGGCTCTGAGTAAAGGTTAATCATAATTGGGAAGGTTGGTATAAATCCACAGAAGTTACAGTCACCCTCTATCATTCTTTTGTGAGACACATACCCTTATCTGCATGCAGTATCTTCCCACTAGCTCCTGCTTTCTGCTTACCCTTCTCTCAGTGCTCACTGGAACGGTGCTACCCTGCTCAGTGCTCAGCGGCTGCCAGATCTGTCCCGCCTGTCTCAGGCAAGTTGGTCTTTCAGGGACTTAAACAGTGGTGTGACTACTACAGGAATGAATGCAAACTAAGGCAAGTGTTTAAGAAGGGTGTAATTAATTTTCTTGAAGTGCCTATCCACACTGGCTGCAGAGATGAGAGGGTATAGAGATGACACCTTAATTTTTATTGCTGAATTTAAGCATAAGGAACCCAGAATGAACTGATGACATCCTTTCATGTAATTGTCTTTGCATAATTTATTCCTTGCTAGCAAAGTTCAAAGTTTTCTACAGTACCTTATGCTTCCTAGTTTACGTTGATATTATAAAAGCACTCACGAAACCCAAGCGGAACTGATGTACACCACCACTTTGAGTTACATTCCTGGGATTGTCTTCTGGATTATTTAGGGAATTAAATGCCAGGTGGCACAAAAGAACTGCTGCTTAGCCTATAACATGTGCAAGTTTCACTTGCATTATGGCTGGTCATACATTAAAGATTCTTATAGCATTTTTAATAGCTGCAAAAATCAAAGCGAGGAGTGCCAGAAAAGGAGCCAGTAAGTCTCTTATGTCTTCATAGTCTCTGCCATCATGAAATTCAGTCTTTTCCATAAGCACTGCACTGTTACAGGCAAACTGCAGTCATGCTCATGCTGTTCTGTAAAAAAGGGAAAAAAGAAAGTGTCCCATTCTTCTGGTCCTTGTCACTCCTGTATGCTGACTTGCTCTTACTGGCTCGTACAGTGATGTTGAACAGTCACTGTTTCATACTAGCACTGAAGGCTTTTCTTATTCCCACTCCATTTGTTTCCTCCGGTTTCTCATTTAGCACTCTGTGTTGGGTAGAGATTTTTCTGAGTGGTATTGCGTTCATTATTGGGTGGTCCACTTAGTCAAGTAGGACATTTTTGTCCTTATCTGTAGTGGATGACAAAAATTCAGTCTGCACTACAATCCTAATATATATGCCACTCCAATTATGTTCCTCTGGTATCGCTGATATTTAGAGACTGTTATCCATTTTAACCCCATTTAGTTAAACCAGTTCTGGGGTGTACAAGGTACAGCAATTTAAACAATATAATGTTACAGGACAACCACTTTGTCTTAAAAAAGATTATATGAAAGCATAAATTATATGAAAGCATAAAACATTGCTTCTCAATCTTCTGTTTGGTTCTGGGTTGCACCACTACTTTTATTAGGCTCCTAAACTCATTCTGGCTTGTGGATATGTTAGGCTTTTGTAAACTCCCTGTAGAGACACTTCATTATGTAGGAAAAGCTACAGTGGGAAAGCAAGCAACATGGTCGTTTTATCAAGACCCACTATGATGGAAAGGAGCCATAGTTCTAGTAATCCAGATACTCCTGAATAGCTTCAGTACACACGTGTCAAATTAAAGTCCAGTCCTTGTTTTATGTAAAGTTACATACAGCTGAGATAATCTGTAATTTTAATGCCTTCTTTATATTAGGACTATTCACAGAATGCTGTGGGCTGGTTTTCTTCTGAGTTGTCCTTCCGTCCCCTGCTTGTCTCCCCCTAAAGTTTTGGCTCTTCTTTTCCTTCCTTTTGCATTCTAGCATTTCTTTTCTATGCCATGCTAGCAGTTGCCATTAACCAAACAGTTAGCTGATAGGTACTTTGTTAATATGTACCTTTACTGGTATTTTCCTGTTGTTGTTTTCTAAGTGAACAGTGCCAAGAGCCACAGTTTAACATTAAGCTAAACTGATTTAAAAGATACCTGCTACTGAAAGCTACCTCGCTTCACTTTGTGCATGTTCCCAACTGTCTTTACACCAGTACTCTTCCTCCTCTTACCTTAGGCCTGAACCAGCTTAAAATTGGTTTGTAGAGGTCAGATGAGCTCCTGGCAAAAAGGCAAGTGGCAGGGTCTCCCCTTTCGGTGTCATTTACTGTTTTATCATCTGCAAAAACAAACAGCAAGATCACATTTGTAAACGTGAGTGCAATTGAAAAGGTGTGCTTTGTCAGGAGGGGCATGCTCTGTACCTTGTACAGTTGAGTTTTACCCTCTCATCACAAATACCACCCTCGTTAAGGTTTCCTTCTGTCCAGTTTGCTGGTATATACTGGTTCCATGTAGCCTTGCTGCTGCTGCCTTTTCTTTGCAGTCTTTCATTCTGAAATGTCAAAGCTCGATTCCTGCAGTTTTCTTGGATTTAGATGATTCTTCAGTTACAGAAGATGCCATTGTAAATTATTACTCTCTCAGGTGAGCAAGTCTTGTAACTAAGTCAATTCATTACTCATTGGCAGTGCATTAAGGAAGAATAGACTCTTTTGACTCTATTGATTCTGTAGATTATATGACCTGAAGGCCAAGTAAATCTAAATGATGAACTTGGAATCTGAGTAACATTACAGCCCACGTGTTACTTAACAGGAGCAATTCAAGCAGGATTTCAATTTTTTTTTTTCCCCCAGTGTGAGAGGATTTAACTTGATATTATTTCAGAATAAAATATTGAAATATAAGGTTTATATGTAAACATTAAGACAGCCAGAAAAAACATCGTAGCTGAAAAGAAAATCATTAAAGGGTAGCAAAGAAAGAAAAAGTTTTAATTTACTATAACAAAAACATTTGGAAAGGTTAGTCTGTAGCCAGGGGTATTCGGGTTAAATATTAGTTAGCATTGGATAAGGAAAGTTGCTAAGGCTAGCTGTAAAATCACCATTGCTAGAAGTATTTAATTCTGGTTTATATGGAAACAAGTCCTGTAAGAATCCACTTCAGGTTCTTCTGACCCAGGTATCTGATAGAATAATCTGATGTATTGCTGGCAAGATAAGTTGTGAGCTATCTGTAGGTATTGCAAAAACATATGGGAAAGGATACAATCAAAACATTTCACTAGTAGCAGAAATGACTAAAGTATGCACTGAATTCTAAGTATCGTGTTGTATTATTATGTTTTGTCATATAGAACAAAAAGTATGTCAGTGAAAAGAACCATATGATTTTTTTTTTTTTTTTTACTGTAGTTAGCTTTCATTTTGTGCTCTCCTCAATGAGAACACAGTCCGGACACAGTGTGTGCAATGCAGCGCTTGTTTTAGTGAAGCACGGACCTCTTTTTCTTTAGAGTTTTTACTTTGTTAATGAATTCCAAGTTAGTAATTAAAAATAACTTTTTAATGTTTTTAAAAGTTAATATTGACATCTCATTGCTTACACTTTTCTACTGCTTTTTTCTTTCAAAATAAACAATGTAATATAAATCAACATATTCCTACTTACTTTTTTTTTCTTGCTTGCACTTTTGATGATCACAGGATGGTTCTCATGGTTGGTAAACTAATCTGTTTTCCTCTTTCTACTTGGTTGATGGTCAACCAGGATACAAAGCGCTAAAAATAACACAGGTGGTAAAAATGACAAACATATATTTGCATTTGAGTTGCTCTTTAAGAAAAATCAACATATTTTTTTTAATTTTCATATGGGATAAAGTATATATTTAGAGTACAAAATGGTTGACATGGTAGTATCTCTCACTGAGATTACTTTGATTGATTCTGGAGGAAGGCAGTTCAAAAACTGAAATTCTTCTCGTATGCTACTATTAAAACACTGAGGACAGGATTCATTACCCAAAATTCAGGAGGCAAAATGCAAGAGGAAGATCTTCCTTGGATCATTTTATAGGCAGTGGTTAAAAATGGTGCTTCTGAAATATAGTGGATATCCAAAATATGTCAGGCAAATTGTGTTTTATACGAACCTCTCTTCAACAGCTCCGCTCTGCTCATTTTAGTTTGGCAAGTTCATATGTAGGCATCCACGCTGCAGCTGTTTAATGTTGGTTGTGATAAATCCCTATCTGAGGCTCAAAAACTGTTTTCAGTTAAGACTTTATCTTAAAATAACATCTGCCATATTTGTTACTGGTGTGAAAGAGGTGATATTTCAAGAAGTCTAAAAAGGAACAATTATGTGTCAATTTTGAGGGTTTAGTGAAGATAAAGATTTTTGAGAAGGAAAATATTACAGTGATGAGTATTTTTGAGAACACCCTCTCTATTCTGACAGGCCGCTAGACAGACAGTTATTTTAGTAATACCATTGAGTTGGGGGTATCAGGAAGCAGAGTATCTTCAAAGTACTATGATGTCAGGTTTTTCTGTGCAGGTTATGACATTTGTCATTTGTCTGTTTTGTGACATCTAATTAATGTCATGTTTATATTACTGTATACTGGAGGCTTGAAAAACTAAACTTCATCTTTTCACAGCTGTGCTGTAGTGTCTTCCTACAATATATCTTGTACATTGTGGTGTTTTATTAAATATGAACATAGCAAATTGTCATCATCATAAATAACCCTCTGTTTTAGAATACCACATCTATTGTTTTTTAATACTAGAGGAACTGAAAATTACAGGAGAACATGTCTCTTGTCCCTAGTTACTAATTAATAAACATTAAAATAGTTTTGTAACTGTTGGTCGTCATGCTTGTATACTGATGTAGAGACTTCTGTAGTGTAAAGGCAAAATATTTCAGTGAGAAAGTTCTACTGCTTTCCTATAACCCTGTTTTGCTCTTTTATGGAAACTGTAAGCTTCACCACCTTTAATTATCAGGATGATAATATGCTTCTGAGAATATACTTGCAGGTATATAAAACACACAGATGAAAAATAACACCTAAAAATTATTAGCAATTTACTCCACAAACTATTTCTAGAATGCAGTTTTTATTTTGCAGTTTAGACTTCATTTGCTTAAAAATATCCTAGTTCGTCACAAAGCTTCTCCTTGTGAGTCACATCACATAATTCTAATTTTAGACTCACACTGAGGTTTTTTAGATGGCAGTTGTATGTATCCAAGTGAATCGCCTATTACTGTGTGCAAGAAAATAGGCTACTTGCTCTGTCTTTCATCTAAGATGACAAGGAGCCTTATGAGGGAAGTGTCAACAACCTATTAAGAATCCAATAGTCTATTTAAAAAAGAAGAAATAAAACAAAAAAAACCCCACACATGCAAAAAGCAAAAATCCCCTCCAAACCACCAACCCCACCCCCCACCCGCACCCCCCCTAGCTCTTTGGAGTTTATTTCTTCATAGTAAACTAAGAAGAAATGTTTGAAATATATTAAATTTCCCAGGAAATTATAGCTGATTACTTAATTGCACAGCTAATGTTTATACTCAAATTCTGGTTGCTTGTTTTTTGGAGTGTATGTTTTATTTTTCTCATTTGTTAGTAGACTTTAATTTGGGGGTGGTCCATATATAATACTCGTTTCAGAAAGTGATGAAACTAAGGCTAATTGTAAAAACTAGCCTCCATCCTGTCCATTGGAACAGATACTGGTTTATTTTGGGTTCTCAGTGGTTATTTTAATTCAGTATCAGAACTGTTTGGGAACTAGTAGAAAAGCATCCTGATATTTTGGGGTAAGTACTTTCCAGGTAAGTGTGGAAGAAAGAGTAATGCTGAGTTACTACATGGTGATGACAGTTCCTCTTAGACTCCAGCCCAGCCTTGGCACAGCCTGCCTGGAGACCAAGGTCCCACACCTCAACCTGCTCACCTCTCTCTCTGGTTTACCTCTCACGCTTTCCCTGATGAGGAGCTGTTGTTAATGTACAGCATTGTGAAATATTGTTTGGAGTTTCATTATGTGGAATGTAAACATTAACATGTTAAAAAACATAATTTGTGAAGCTTCTTTTACTGTAATTTCACTTGGTTTTATGTAATTGCATTTCAGTATTTGTTACATAGTCTATAGCACTTTTAAGAGGATTATGCCCTCACTGTTGCACATTGGTTTAAGTGACTATGGAGAATGTATGTAATCTCTTTGTAACAGTTAGGTTTTGACACAAACCTGCAAAGCCTATGAATCTCCAAGCTGAAGACTCATTGTATTAACCCTGGTATGAGATACATCTGGAACATTTAATAACAGCTTGTTTCTACACAGCAGTTGCTGCAGAATGAGAGTTACTATTTAGTTTACCAAAATCACAGAGTTTCTTTTTCGCTATGCCAGTGTAATTCCCAGGGAAAATTCATCATCCCCTTGGAGAGATGCCGAAGGCCTGTACAAACGTGGTGTATTGTTCCTATGGTTTCTGCACCTTACTCATACAGGCCAGGTGGTGTAGCCTGTCATAACTTCATAGGCTGCCATGCATCTACCCGCTTGCTTGGAGGTTATCACCGGCACACCAGGAGAGGTACAGCTTCTTTACTGTATAGTGCAGTGTGGACTTCCTGTACATCTTTACTCAAGATGCTGTTGTGAGAAAGCTGCTCACTTCCAAACCTTGTGAATGCAGCAACTGTTCTGTAAAGGCTTTATCTTAATCTCATTAAAAAAAAAAGGAAAAATCTTCTTTCCATAAGGTGAGGGGAATGAACTGTAACAGCAATAATAGGTGAAGGGTATTACTGTTAGCTTTCCAGTCTTGGAGAAAAAGCTCCTTACATACAAAATCACAGTATTCAAGAAGATAAGAGGACAAGCCAGTGTAGCAGAGCAAATTATTGCCTAATATTTTGCCTAATAGATGAAAAAAGAAAAAAGGCTCACTTAGGAGTGGAGACTGTAGTCTTCAGACTTGACTGTTAATAAGCAATGATTTTTTGATTTTTTTTTTATTTTTTTTTTTTGTGATAAAAGAGGTTTTGAACTGTGCTTTCATTCTACCAAGGAAATGAAAGTAAATCATTATTACAGTTGAGCTTGTGTAAAGGCACATCTCTTCATTCTCTTTGTTTTGGCCAGGGTTTCTATTCTGTTGTCTCATTTGCCAAGACATCCTTAGGCTTTTCCAGGTTTAAGTGGTGCAGCCATTCCTGGTACTGAGTCAGAACTGAGA